TCAAGTTAGTCAGACAGAGGAAAAGATTCAAGTAAAAGAGAAGGTCTCTTGAACTAGTCAGACAGAGGAAGAAAGTTTAGAGCAGAAAAAGCCATCAGGGGAAAAGTTACAACAGGAGACTGCTACTAACACCTTTCTATCACCAGAGGGTGTAAGGGTCCAACCAACAGCGCCACCTCTACAGGAGACTGCTACTAATACCTTTCTATCACCAGAGGGTGTAAGTCTCCAACCAACAGTGCCACCTCCATATGCTGGGAGGCTCCCAACCCCTGCAGTTGATAGTTGGGATCCTGAGACAGGATCTCAAATATTAACATGCCCTGTATTTGAGGCAGTAGGGCAGCAAATTCACCATGCTTTAAATTTCAAAACAGTGACGCAGCTAAAAGAGGCTGTAACAACCTATGGTCCTCAAGCACCCTTCACTGTAAGCTTGGATGAATCCATTAACAACTTGAACATGACATCAGCAGATTGGGCTAATATGTGTAAAGCTGTGCTAAATGGAGGACAATACCTGTTATGGAAGGTTGCCAATGAGGAATTTTGCAAGGAGACGGCTAGGCGAAATGCCGCAGTCTGGCTGGGCACAATCAGGAGCCACTTGTCAAAAGAAACGATCTTTATTTTTAGAACCACACACGCCAAACAAAACAGCTCCTCAGGAAAAACCCTCAGAGCCCAACTGCCACCACCGGCTTCCCACAAGCCTCTCCTCAAAACCACCAGCCTCCCCCCCCCTTCCACAATCCTCCTGCTCTTGAGGCCGATTGGCTGGGTCGCATGGGCGGAGGCAAAAAAGTCCCCCAATGAGCAACTCCGTGGCCTGAAAGGGTAGGGAAACAGCCCAATGAGCATCACCGCAGAGGAGCCAATCATCTAGATGTTGCTGGGGCCCCTTCAGCTGTGGCTCTCAACAGCTGCATTACTATAGTATGCTGATTTTAAGTCCTTTGGGTACTTTGAGGAGTTGGATAGCTAGGTCAAATAGTGGTTCCATTCCAAGTTTTCTGAGGTCTCTCCACACTGCTTTCCATAGTGGTTGTACCAATTTTCAGTCCGGTGAGCAATGTATGAGTGTACCTTTTTCCCCACATCCTTGCCAATATTTATTGTTGCCCAGACCTTTTTCTATTTTATTTAGAGACAGAGACTCACTCAGTTGCTGAGGCTGGCTTTGAACTCTAAATCCTCCTGCCTCAGCCTACTGAGCCACTGGGATTACAAGCGTGTGCCACCATGCCCAGCTGTAGGCTCTCTTTTCATGGTTTTGTTTTCTTTGCTGTGCAGAAGCTTTTTAATTTGATGTCATCCCATATATTTTCAGCATTGTGAAAATCAGTGTGGCTTCTTCGAAGAACTAGGAATAGAATGACCTTATGACCCAGATATTTTACTCCTCAGTATTTCTCCAAAAGAACTGAAATCAGCATACTATAGTGATATATATGCATTTCAATGTTGATAGTGGTGCAATTGAGAATATTCAAGTTATGGAATAAGTCTAATTGTCCATCAACAGGCAAATGGATACAGAAAATGTGCATATACACAATAGAGTTTTATTCAGGCATACAGAAGAATGAAAATGTGTCATTTGCTGGTAAATTGAACTAGAGAACATCATGCTCAATGATATAAGCCAGACATAGGTAAGGAAAGAATGTTTTCCCCTCATATGTGGAAACTAGAGAGAAAAAAGAAATGAAAATGTGGGGATCTCATATAAGTAGAAAGTATATCAGTAGAGGAGAGGTAGAGGATCAAGGGGTAGGGAGGGAAGGAGAAGTACTGGAGAACAAAATTTACCAAATTATTGTATATGTATTAATATACCAGAATGAATCCTACTACTATGTATAATTATAATGTACCAATAAAAATACATGTAAATAAATAAATAAAAGGAATTCCAGAGAAACAGAGAGTGGAAAATGGGGAGGGAAAGAAGAAATACTAGGGGATTAGTTGGAGTAAATTATGTTATGTGTATATATGAATTTGTCACAATGATCCCCCCACTATTATGTATAATTATAATACACTAATAAAAACAAAAAAAACTGGTAGAAGACATGAACCAAAATTAATTAAATAGAATAGAAAAATAACATAAATGATCAATGTTACAAGGAGTTGGATCTTTGAAAAGATAAACAAGATTGGGAAAACTGAGTCTTGATGAAGACACCAAGACAACTCAAGTGAAGAAAGACAACTCTTGTCAGAAAATGGTAATGGAAAAACTGGATATTGCAATGACACACAAAAAAGAATTCTGACCTATCAGTTATACCACATATAAAACTTAACTCATAATGTATTACACATCCCTGGCCTTGAAATCTAGAGAAACAATAAAAATTTTAGAATAAAGGATAAAGTATTTGTGACCTTGTTTAGACAGAGATGTCTTATAGATAACACTAAAGCCTAGCTGGTGAAAGAATTGTTATTAATCACAAATTTAAAAAACTCTGCTCTTCAAGACATCTTTAAAAGAATAGAAATACCATAGATTGGGAAAAAATATTTATAAAACATATACCTGATAATGCACTTATAACCACTTCATATTTTAAAAAAAAGTCATGGGGGCTGGAGATACAGCTCAGTTGGTAGAGTGCTTGTCTTGCATGCACAAGGACCTGGGTTAAATCCCCAGCACCAAAATAAATAAAAAAATCAACAACCTGATCTTTGAAAAATAGAAGTTTGCAGTTAGAAAGGCAATTATCAGAATACAAATAGTAATAAATGCTGGTGAGGACATGTGGGAAAATGTACACTTATACATTGTTAGTGAGACTGCAAATCAATACACACACTTTGGAAAGCACTATGAAGATTTCTCAAAAGACTAGGAATGAAACCACCATATGACCCAGCGATTTCACTCCTAAGTATTTATAGAAAAGTACTAAAATCAGTATACTACAGCAATTCATGCATAACAATGTTTATAGCAGCACAATTCACAACATCCAAGTTATGAAACAAGTCTAGGTGTCCCTCAATTGATGATTAAAGAAAATGTGGTATATATACACAATGGGGTTTTACTCAGCTTAAAAAATGAAATTATTTCATTTTCTGGTAAATGGATGGAACTGGAGAGTATCTTGCTGAGGGACATAATCCATACTCAGAAAGTCAAGGGTCAAATGTTTTCTCATGTGCAGAAGTGAGAGAGTAATAAGGAATTTATAAAGGAGTAAGAACTCATGAAAATAGAAAAGAGAATAGTAGAGAAAAGAAAGGAGAAAAAGGGGAAAGAGTCAAGGGATGAGAAAGGGGAGGAACTGCAGAATGAAATCAACCAAAGGATATTAGGTGAATATATGAATATATCATGATGAATTCCACTCTTATGAATAACTATAATGCAGCAATTAAGAATAAATTTTAAAATTGGGAAAGATTTACACATATTTCATTGAAGATATATGGATGGTAAATATGCATATGGAAAGATATTCAAGCTGGCTCACATCTATAATTCCAGCTACTTTGGGAGGCTGAGGCAAGAGAATCCCAAGTTGAAGGCCAGTCTGGGCAACTTAGCAAGGACCTTTCTTAAAATAAAAATTTAAAAAGGTAAATGGTATGCATTTACCCAGCCTGTATAAGGACCTGGGTTCAATCCCCAGTATCTATCTCTCTGTCTCTCTCTGACACACACACACACACACACACACACACACACACACACACACACACGTCATTCAACATCTTCAGTCATCAGAGAAATGCTAATTATAACTACTATGAGATATGATATTAAAAAGACTGACCATACCAACTGCTAGCAATGATGTAGAGGAATCATAACTCCATACACTGCTGTGGGAATGTAAAGTTGTACAATCACAATACCACTATGGAGTTGTAAAATTACATTATCAGGGTTGGAGCTGGGGCTGAGCGATAGAGCATTTGCCTAGCACAATGCTCAGAACCACATAAAAATAAATAGGGCTGGGGTTGTGCCTCAGGGGTAGAATGCTTGCCTAGTTTGCATGAGGCACTGGGTTTGATCCTTAGCACCACAAAAAAAAAAAAAAAATATATATATATATATATATATATATAGTGTCCACCTTAAACTAAAAAATATTTTAAAAATATAAAATGATACTGTCCAACTACAAAAAAAACTTTTTAAAAAATTGCATAATCACTTTGAAAAATGTAAATATTACACATGTAACTACCATATGATCCAGCCATTCCACTCCTAGATATTTATTAATCCAGAACATATGTGCATAGAGACACAAGTACATTAATTGTCATAGCAACTTTATTTGTAATAACCAAAATCTGAGCCCAAATGTCAACAGTTGAATGGATTAAAAAAAACTGAAAAAAAGCCATAGACTACTACTTATAAAAAAATTAATGAACTACTGAGATAGATGACATGAATGAAACTCATACAATTATGCTAAGTGAAAGAAGCCAGGCTCCCCCCTTCCAAAAGAGTATGTGCTGTATAATTCTACTTGTATATGATTACAGAAAATGATTCTATTTTGTTAGAAAGCAGATCAGTAGTTGCCTGGGGACAGAGGGACACAGGGTGAGAGAGATTACAAAAAGGCACAAAGAAGCTTTTGGATATTTTCACTATTTTGATTGTTGTTATGGTATATACATACACACACACATATGTGTGTGTATATATACATATACACACACACACATACACATATATATGAATATATATATATCTGAAATTGTACACTTGAAATATGCAGTGTAATGTATGTCAACTATATCTCAATAAAGCTATTAAACAAAAAGCATGTGGTAGATCTGCATAGATCTGTATGATACTGAACTGGAAAAATAACTGTTAAGATAAAAGGGTGAGTTGCTGAATACTACTTTTGCAAAATAATAAATTTGTGCATATTGTATGTTAAGAGAATATACAATAAAATATCATAAAACTACATCAACTGTTAACAGGAAAATATTACATGATTCAAAAATATTCTGTAGAATTATATTTATTGACACAAAAAATACATTCACGATATACAGTTAGCTGTGAGGATACAAGTTACAAATAATATTTAAAGTGTGGTCTTGAGTTCTTAACTGCCCCAAATCTCAAATCATTGGATGATTTCATTGCATAATAACTTTCTCTACAACTTAGACCAGGGTCTGTAATCATTACCATGAGTCTTAAAGAATTCAACCATAGCCTGAAATCTTGAGATGCTTTCAAGACCATGTGGACTTCCAGGAATCACTGTCTTGTATGTTGAGACAGTAGTGCCACTCTTTGCTTTCTTATTTTGTATTATTGAAGCTGCAGCTCTGGATGTAAATTTCTCCAATTAACTTTATTCTCAGTTTTAGCCAGTACAAATGCAGAAAATGCCCTTGCCAACTAGTAAAAGATACAGCATTTAGCTTTTCATATGACACATAGGAGAATAAACCATAAATGCTAAAAAGTTAAGGTATGATTTTGCAAAGAGAAAGAAAGCAACTACCTTTTCAAATGCAGAGTGCGAAATATTCAGAATGATTCCTCTTTTTTTGAAAAGAGGACACATTAATAGAAAAAGACAGGGTGTATAAGAACTTTCAATTTCTGACAACTCCACACCCACATCTTATTCATTCAACAGTCTGAACACCTACTATTTCCCAGATGCTGCTGGGTAAAAAACATACATTCATCTCAGACCTTCCTCTTAACCTCTAGCCAGGTATAGCCAAATGCCTAGTGACAAGTGCATTTGTCTACCCATAGAAGTGACATAATCTACTGCAAAATTAAACAATTACAACCAGTCTCTGAGCTTTGAAAGCTACCACCTAAAAAAGTGAAGGACTGTAAGGTCATGTGGAAAGATGGGGTCTGGTGTAGGAAGAGCAATGCCACCTGCCTGCTGTGGGAATCTAGGAAATGTTCTCATTCATTGGAGGGTATCCAGAATAATGAGCTTTAATTATAACGTAAGTATCTAGTTCATGGGATCACTGCAAAAGGAGGGAAAATTTTTGTAAAATATAGTGTCAACACAGTGTCTGACACAGTAGGCACTCAATAAGTATTTTCTCCCCACTCATACCTCCCTTTTCTTCTGTGAGATATATCTTAAATGAAATAGCCTAATGATTTAAGAGTTATAAATGTAGTAGCAAAATAAAAAAATGAATAAACATTACACTTTATCTGGAATGCAGGGCCATTTCTATATTATAGAATGAGTGTCTGATATAGCTAGAATAGGGGAAAAATAGACATTTATCTTAAACAGTTGTAAGAACACCTGCCTCCTTAAATTGAGAAGTCACATTTGGCAATGAGCATATGTGGATGTGTGTGTGTGTGTGTGTGTGTGTGTGTGTGTACACACACACACACATATATGCTATAAGTATTACTGGTTATCTTTTTGTGTATATAGGCCATATTACTGTAACTAGATAATAATATTCTTTTTTGCCATTTCAAGCTACAAATGGATCTAAGAAAATACCAATGATCAAGCTAGCTTATGTATAATGAACTGATTCACTATCTTATTAAGTAAAACGTTAAAAATCTGCCAGTCTAGACAAGATAGACATCAACAAACATTTTACCTCTAGATTTAATATTCATTTGATACACCAAAACACTAGCTCTGAGCTAGAGCCTATCACAGGTATCATTATGTTAAAGATGCAATGTATATTTTGTGCACACTCTAATAACCAAAACATTATGCAAGATTCTTTGGGAATGTACAGCCTGTCAGAATTTGAAGATTGTTCAGTGTTCTCTTGTTTTTGGCTCATTTTACATTGCTTTAATAATCCCTTTAACGTCACGGAAAATGGCCGTAAGTGTATTATAACTCATATGATCAACAACTACAATTGAGCCCTTTCTGATATGCTCCTTTATGTTAATAAATATGGCCACAGCACTAACGAGGTTGGCTTTTGCCTCATTCTGGTTAAAAATGAGTTTTAATGCTGCCAATGCCTTCATATTGATCATGTCTCTGGCTGCAGTTGGATTTTCAGACATATTTAAAAGTACTTTCAAGACAAGATTTCTAGTTTTACGATTTCCCTGGGATAGCAAATGGAAAAGCTCTGAAAAGTAACTGGCAACAATGTAGTGATGAATAGTATCAGTAGTCAGTTGCCCTAGTATCTTTAATCCAGATTGCTGTCCAGGTGAGTCTAAGGGGAAAGACATGGTTTCCTTACACATATGTTTCACATGTAATTCCAACTTGCGTTGTCTTTCATCCCCAGAAGGAGGATTCAGAGTAATCACAGTCTTTTTTCTCATTTCTGTGGAAGGAAAACTGAGCAAACTTTCAATAAGTGTCACTACGCCCACTTCATTAATGAATTCTTGGGCAAATGGATGAACATTATGGATACCCATTGCAATCTGTGCTATTTTATGAATGAGAGGATCAGTAGTTGACTTAAGTATGCCAATAAGCTTTTCAAATTCCTCAGAATCCATGTAACATTCCATTTTGCAAGGGCAAGCAAATGGCTTAATCCCATTTACCTCTCTGATCTTAATTTGGCGTCTAATTTCATCTATCGTCTGAATGCAAGGGTCAGAACCAAATGGGTACTCAGGGATAGGCTGTAAGTTTGAGCGAGCACTCCTAGAAGAGCAGGCTGCTGCAGCTGAAGAATGAGCAGCTTCCTCAGATGAGGCCAGGACAATATATGAAGAAGGCTTTGGCTCAGATGGGACCTGGGATCTAAAACCTAACACTGCTGGAGTTACAGCAGGGGCTTTGGGCCAGATAGTTACCTCAGACCAGTCCTTTGGCCTGTTTTTTTCATTAATTTCATCTACAGGCTGAGGCCTAACTATCCGGCTTACAGGCTTAGGATTAGGGTCAAAACTAGCATCATCTCCTTCCCAAAACCAGCTCCCAATAACATTCTCCTCTTCTTCTTCCTCATCCCCTGACCTATTCTTGCTGCTGACCCCAGGTGTAGGCTCCAATTCAGGACGAACTTGGCCACCAACATGAGCTTTATTTTCATCTTTAGCACTGGTACGATTACTAGCTTCATCTCCCTTCCAAAACCAAGAATTGATACTGGCTTCTTCCCCAGCCCAGAACCAGGTATCAACACTAGCATTATCTTTACATGTGGAGCTGGTAGCCTCATTATCAGCCTTGGGACTGATATTTGCCATGGCTTTCACTGGAGCCTTAGGCTCTGACAGGGCTCCTTCCTTATTCTCAGCAACAACCCTGTTTTTAGATATTGCTTTTGTCTCTGCAACTGCATCTGTTTTAGGCCGTGCCTTGGCTTTTGCTTTGGACCGGGTCTTGGTTACAGGTTTGGTTGTGCCAGTAGCTTCCCTCTCTGCTCCACTTTTAGCCTGTACATTTGTTCTTTTTTCATTTTTAGCCTGGGTTTTAGCCTTATTCTTTGTCCCAGGCATGTTTGAATATCAGTTATACAGTCTTGTCCAGTCCTAGCCTTCGTTCTCAGTGTGTCCCAGGTCAGTGTCTCTACACTCTTTTTTATTGGGTCAGAGATGAACTTGGTAGCAAGAGTCAATTGTCAGTTAGCAGTCACACAGTCCCCTTTCTAAGCACACAACCTCTGTCGATGATACAGATAGAGTGGAGGAATACATGGGCTGGGGGAAGATGATGGTTGCTGAATGCAGACCTGTTGAATGTGAAGATCTTCTACCAATTTGAGACCACCACAGCCACAACTGGAGAGAAATCTGAGGTGAAGAAAAAAATGGGCTTGAGTCTCCTGCAACTTTGCCTCTCTATACATAGTTACATAGAAAAACACGATAGTAGAGATGATTGTATGGCAGAAGTGGATTAGTAAAAAACTCTGCTACCTGGGCATGATAGCACACACCTGTAATCCCAGTGACTCAGAAGCTGAGGTAGGAGGACCACAAGTTTGAGGCCAGCCTCAGCAGTCAAGCATGACCCCAAGCAACTTAGTGAGACCATGTAACAAATTAAAAAATGAAAACTGCTGAGGCTATAGCTCAGTGTTAAAGTACTAAAAAAAAAAAAAAACAAAGAAAACCCTGTCACCTCATTTTATTCCTTGTACATCCCACTAATGCCCAAAACATCCTGCCCAAATACTAACATTCTTTTTTTTTTCCACTGTATTAAACACAACAGTAGTGGTAGATAAGCTTGCTGAATGTAGAATTGGATAAGGAGTGTCCAATCCCTTTGGTGCCATAGTGATACATACTAATAAACACTATAGGTCCATACAGACAGGTTTCACACCAACCTGAACTGTTCTGATGCAATGTTGTCCTTCTTCCTTGCTTTCAGTATTGATAGGAGCAACAGTTGACCCTCAAACAGACCTAAGGACAAAAATACACGTGGTGTTGTAATTGTGAGTATTTGCTAGACTGACTGCACTTTGGTATCTTAATATGTAGAGATTTTTACATATCGCTTCTGCCCCACCCTAGTTTTCCTCATGGCTTCCCTCCCCATTTCCTGTTCCAATATCAACCAATTATCTACCTATAGGTATAACCTTGGCTTATCCTGCCCACATTATCTGTACACAAATGTGAGGGCCAAGTTGTCAGGAAAGTTGGAAGACAATGTCTCCAAGACATGATCTGGTCTCAACCACATGCCAAAGCTACCCCTAACCCCAATCAACAGGGGTATTAATGCACTCACACCTAACCTGGATCCAAATGAATAGTTTTCCTTTTTTCTTAATTACCTTCCAAGTGAACAGCTACCTACAGATCCCTACAGGAACCTAGAAAGAAAAGACCTACAGATAGAAGAAAAAAAAAAACCCAAAACAGAAGAGACTGAGCTGGTATAATACACTTGACGGGGTTATAACATGCTTTTGCATATTCAAGGCTATGTCAAATGTCTCCCACTAGTCTGCTCCCCCCAGAGATTCCCAAGCCAAACCCCTCGAGACCTGTAGTATATCTGATTATATTTCCTTCCAACTCTGGAGTCAGTCATTTTCCCAGCAAAGGATACACCTCTTTTCCTGAACAAAAATATGAAGTACAGGAATAGGTAGTGGAACTAAGCAACTGTTTAGAAAGCAGGCAGGGAAACTAATGTGCATTATTATTATTTAAATGCCATCTTTGCATGCTGCCAATTCCCATACATAGAACCTACCTCATTTATGCCAGCCTGGTCACAAAGGAGGGGTCCTCATGAAATGCTATCCTTGGCACCAAAGAAGAGTCCCCTGGTTACAGAAGAGTCAGTACCTATAAAAAGAAGCAGACATTCAGTAAACAATCAAGACAATATGTTAACAATGGTAGAAAAACATGTTAGATTTCCAGAATCCAAGTTCGAACACCTCCTTTTTGACCACGAGGAACAAAGTAAATGAAGTCTAGCACTCTCACCATTTCTCAGAAACATCACAAAACCTTCTGTGGGACTATTTCTGTATTAAAAAAAATGAGAGGGAATGTGAGGCTGTGATGGGTGATGTTTGGGTTTCCAGAAAAAGAAACCAAAGAAGCAGACTGACTTCAAATGTTCTAAATATATCATTCAGAGAGACTTCCCATTTACTCTGACCTGCTATTCTCACACATCAAAATATTATTTATAGTGCACCAGGATTTTAAGAAAAATAGATTTTGAATGACAAAATAAACACCACACCATTAATTTACATGGCCTGTTGCTACGAAATTCTACCATCTTGACCATTCGGTTGTACTAAATTGGGCATGGGAATCTAAATATAGAATGAAATAAGACAGTGTGGTACTAAAGGCTGATGAACATTTCATTTCAATTTCCTCTTAACTCTCACTGCTCCCATTTCCTAGAACACACCAGACCTACCTCACTCATGAGAGGCTTTCACATCAACCAGGTGCCTGTGGGAAGAGACAGCACCCAGGACTCAGGGTCCAACAGGCCCCTTTCTGGAACCCGCTGTTGTGACAAAGGCGACCAATCTCCCGCTAAGCTAACTGGGCTGGACAGAGCTTGGACAACAGCCCCTACTCCTGTTCCCGCCCACTGCGGCCTCCAGGGCGCCCCCCAGGCCCCCGCCCCAGCTCCCAAGCCGCCATTTCTCCCTCACAGGCTTCCCCCAGGGCTCTCACCGGACACAGACACAGTCAAGACGGGAAGGAAGTCTGAGAAGCAGCTGCTGCAGTTGGCCTCCGGAGGCTCTGCTGGAGGCTCTCTGGGCACCCCGCCCCCTGCCCCGACCCAGGCGGGTCACCGCCGCTTCCTCACCAGGGGTCCCCAGGTTCCACACACCCCTCTCAGGGACCGGCTCCCGCCAACTCACTCTCTCCTCACCGGGATGCCAGAGTCTGGAGTGGGCAAGCTATCAGCGGGCCACAGTTGAAGACCACCCCTGCGTGCCGCACTTGCCTTCACAGGCTCAGGGCCCAGGACATCGGGATTCCTATCCTCTCCTTTTCCGTCCGGTCCTCTGGCAGCTTCTCACTGGGACTCCCTCAGCTTTCTGTGCTGGCAGAATTGCCAAGAGGAGTCCCGCCCCCACGCCTCTGCACCAAACCGGGCAGGGGCTGCGCAGGATGCGGCAAGAACCGCTCGCCTCGAGGGTGTCGGGAAGGGGGGCGGAGGGATATGGCGCGAATGGGCTCGACGCCCCCTCCCAGGCCCACCGTACTTCCGACCCAGAGGTGGGCGGGGCCAGCGCCAGCCCGGGTCTGAGGGGCAGCTTAGCACCAGCAGCCTCAGTAAGACCCCGCGCACCCTAGCGTGCAGACCACCACCCAGTCTCCCGCGCACCTACTTCTGGCGGGACTGGCGAGAGGGCGGGCGGCTGGGGGCTGCGGGAAGCGGTATCTGGAGGTCGGGAAGCGCTGCGCGGGCGGGAGCAGCGGATGGATACCAAAACTCTCTTTGGTGTGCCTGCACCCCAGACTGCGCAGTGCCTGCCCCCCTCCTTCCACTCCCCCTCCTTCCTAGACGCTAATGGGAGGGGGTGTCACGACTGCAGACTGCGGTTTGGGGGGACGGACATGTGACTTCACTACAGACCGACTAGGGGCCTCAGGGATGGCTCTTCCATGTTTTTCCTTTACAGCTTTAGGAGCCATGACGGGGAGAAAAGCACTCTTGTTGCTTATGGAACTGAGGTGGGGGCTTCCTTTAAAGGCCTTACCACTCCCCTTCCAAAGGAAGATTAACCTAGACCCTTAGCCCTAAGAGACGTACCGCTGCTCTGCACCAACAATTACTCTTTCTGCCACACTAGTAATAGCTCACTCCATATGGGAATTCACTTGGCCACTGGGTCGTCCCCACAGCTGTCCAAGGCAAGTCTCCAAGGGAACCACACACTCCTATCCTTGGTGCCCCAGCACAAAGTTTCAGGCACCAGGTAGAACCTGTCTTAGATCCTTGCACACTGTTCTGTTTTCTTCTCTTGCCAGTCATGTCCAAGCCTTTGTGATATTTGGCACTGTGGAAATTTGGTGGTGATTTGAACCAGCTTGGCCATAACCATCTCTTTCTTAGGGGAAGGAGCCAATGTGCTCCCACTTCCTTAAGACATATACTAGGCTGTTTCTGAATGCTCTCATTTTACCCCCACATCCTTCCTGTATTCTGGATCCTGTCTTTTCCCTGCTTGCTGCATGGGACAAACATAGCAATGGGGTTAAGCATACACGTGGTGCTGTTTCTGCTGACCACGTTAAAATCTATCGAAATGTCTCTTTTTCGTGTTTGACAGAATAATGGCCCTGGAAGGATGCCTGCACCTTATACTCCACAATATGTAAACATATTATGTTACCTGGGGAAGGAGAATTAAGTTTGGTAACTGGTTGAATTTATAAAATATGCTGGATTATCCTGGCAAAAGTAGTCCAATGGCTTTTTACATGGGGCAGGGGGAGGCAGAAGAGTCAGTGTCCAAGGCAAGTAGCATGATAAAGACTAGACAGGACACTGTTGGCTTGCAACATGGAAGGCAGCCAGGAGCCTAGGAATGCAGGCTCTCTCCAGAAGCTGGAAAAGACGAAGAAGCAGATTCTTCTCTGGAAACTGCAGAAGGAAATCAGCTCTGCCTACAGCTTGGTTTTATTGTAATGATACTTTATTTGTATTTTCAAACATCAAGACTGTAGGATAATAAATCTGTGTTATCTGAAGTCACCACAATTGTAATAGAGTTGCCCCTCTACATGTATGGTTTCTTCATCTGTGGATTCAACCTAACCCAAATGGAAAATATTTGAAAAAAGTGCACCTGTACTGAACCCATAGTGACATTTTTCTTCTTGTCATCATACCCCAAAGAAGACAGTATAACACATTTACATAGCATTTGCATTGTATTAGGTATTCTAAATAATCTAGATGAAATTTAAATTATACAGGAGGTTGTGCATAAATTATAAGCAAATATTATGTCATTTTTTAAAATAAGGGATTTTAGCATCTGTAGAATTTTCTATCTGTAGTGGTTCTAGAACCAAACTCCTGAGGACACCAAAGTAGGACTGTCATTTGTTATAGTAGCAGTTGGAACTAAGTACTTTCATCATCAGGAAAGGATATGTCACCTTTTTTTAAATGTATTTCTGTCTCTGGGTCAATGTATTTTTGGACCATGTTTCATCACCATCACCATCCATTCCACCAATCCCCTTCTCTCCTTTTCTTGAAAGAGTTGTATAATGATCCTTGAAGTTTATCTTGTGGAATGCCCATTTTTGTTGAAAACTACTCATATTTCCATAGATGAAAAGGGAATCCTATTTTCAACATGAATCTATATGCTTCCATATCAGCTTTTGTTTTCAGACGATTAGCTCTTCAATAGATAATATGAAGAAAATATCTGAGAAGTACTGTATACCATATCTGGAGATGAATGAATGTGCCCACCAAAGGAAGGCAACTTTAAATGCGCTGTTTACATGTTCTTAATTGAATTTTTTCTTTCTCTACCTATGTGTTACACATAAAGCAGCTTAAATAATTAAATGTCAGCTTTATAAAGTCAGAGAACAAATCAAATATTGAAACAGGATGCTGACTTTTGTCTGTCTAATTGCTAAGCACTATTTCTTCCCCCTGAAACAGATTCCAGACTAACAGATTGCACCAGCCAGTTTCACTCCCCAGTGCCTGTACTAGCACCTGCATAACCCTGACTTGCCCCTGAAATCTAATTTTTCAGAAACAAATAGCCCACAAGCATTAAGCTGTGGCACAAAGACAGCTATGCTGACTCATCATACCTAACACTCTGGCCCCAACCTTACTCTGCCTCCCACATGTTTGTTTGTGAACTTCAACACTAGCATATCCATTGCCCATGTGGCTTGCGTGATCTGGTCCCTTTCAATCACCATGGATGTGGACCTGCTTTTACTATTTAGCTTAACTTGAATTTCTGGTGTTGTTTTAATTTTCATTAATGACATATGATGTTGAACATCTATTAAATATGCTCATTTGTCATTTGTATATTTTTTTGGCCAGGTATCTGTTCAGATCATTTGCCCATTTTTTTTAAATTAGAGCTTTATAAATATACATGGTAAATGGTTCAACCCGACAAATTCATACATGCATGGACATTTATTAAAATTCAGAATCCCACTATTTACCTATTTTTACATTGGTTTGTTTTTTTTATTGTTGTATTTAAGAGTTTTTTGTATGTTTAGATACCAATCTTTTATCAGATGTCTGTTTCTTAGCTATTTTCTTGGTCTCTGGTGTTTCACTCTTTGTTAACAGAGTATTTTGCAGAAGAGATTAGTCTTTAATGAAGCCCAACTTACTGATTTTTTTCTTTCATCTGTCTTACTTTTGGTGTTATATCTAAAACAGTCTTCTAAAGTTAACTAGATATTATTCTGTGTTTTATTCTTGAGTTTCATAGTTTTGCCTTTAACATTTATTTCTATTACACATTTTGAGTTAATATATGTAAAAGGATAAAGGTCCATGTCTAAATTCTTTCCTGTTTTTGCATTAGATTAGCACCATTCATTAAAAACAATATCCTTGAGGCTAAGGTTGTAGCTCAGTGGTTAAGAGCACTAGCTAGCACCTGTGAAGCACTGGGTTCAATCCTCAGCACCACATAAAAATAAATAAATAAAATAAAATTTTTGTGTGTATACAACTAAAAAAAATTAAAAACCAATATCCTTTCTCCATCAAATTTTGTTCACTTTTGGTCAAAGATCAGTTGGCAATATTTTTATGGGT